AAAAAAAAAAAGGGCTAGAGGTGTGGCCCAAGTTAGCAAGGATGAAGCCTTGAGTTCAAACCTCAGGGCCTCCAAAAAAAGGTAATTATTCTAAGTCCCAAATTACAGGGGTTTTTTTTGTTTGTTTGTTCATTTGTTTTTAGCAGAATTGATTTTATCTAGAATATATACTCATTTTATAGAAAAGGAATATGTCATAGAAACCATCCTTTATCTAGTAAAATTGGCCAAATTATTTACATATACTGCCTCTAATTTTTATTAAAGCCTCCAACATTTTTCAGTCTGTCCATTCTACAAATGCAGATGATGAGGCTTACTGAGGTGCTTATTTAACGGCTCAAAGTCACATAAAAGTAGTCAAGTCCAATCAGGTCAGTGCCCAAATCTGCTTTTTATACTGCTTTGTATCTAAAATATAAGTCTGTCTGTATTGATTTAACAAGAAATAGAATTTTAAGTAATTTATTTAAAGTTATTAAGCTAAGGCACTCTAGCAGACTAAGACTAGTTACTTGGTAGGTAAGTATACAGTAAGTGGGAATGGTAGTAAGGTAAATAATTATGTCATGAATTGCAGCAGAAAACAATAAGTTATACACAAAATTGACAAATTAAGAAGCAGGGGCAGCATCCAACAGAAACTCTTATGGATGGTCATTCTGCCAGATGCTGTGGCTCACGTCTATAATTCCAGCTACTTGGAAGGTGGAGATTGGGAGGATCAGTGTTCAAGGCCTATAGGGTAAAAAGTTAGTAAGACTCTTATATCAACAAACAAGCCAGGTATAATGGTACATGCAGAAGGCATAGGTAGGAGGGTCATAGTCCTAGTCTGCTCTAGGCAAAAGCGAGATCTTATCTGAAAAATAACCTAAAAACGTAAAGCAGTGAAGGAGTGGCTCAAGTGTTAGAGAACCGGCAAAACCTGCTTCCCTGCACCAAGAGTGAGTGACCATTCTGAGGGAAGGGAAGAGGACTGGGGCTGCAAAAGAAGTGGCTATTGATTTTCATTATGAGCCCCTTGATTTCTTGACATTTGATTTATTATTTGATAAAATTTAAAAAGACTATAGAAAAAAATGTATCATCTATTATATGCATTTCATAGCATTCTATAGATGACCTAAGTTGTGGATTAGGAGGGAAAGCTGGAACACTTTCTTCGCCTGGATCCATTACTGTTACAAGTAATGTGAAATTGCAGTTAAAAATATTAACTAAGCCACTACTCTGGTCAGATTCTGTAGGAGAGAAAAGATGAACACAGCTTGCTCCCAGGCCACTGTGTGTTACAGTTTAGTGAGGGTGCTATAGAGCAAGGAGGGAAAAAATCTAAGAGGAGAAATAAGATCTCCGATTTTCTCTGTCTACTCCATATTGTGCTACAAACTTTACCTTATTTTTTATGGAAAACATATATCACAGAAAAGATAAAATGTAAATAGCTATGTGGGCTCAGTAGATGGAAAAATTGCATTTACTTTTCAAGACCAAGAAATACTTCCTGAAGCAGAAAATTTGGGGTGGGCATTGAAGTAGAAAGAGACTTCTACAGACAGAAGTGAGATGACAGAGGCATCACTTATTTGCTAATGGAAAAGCTTGTATTTGGAGCTCAGTTTTTTGGGTTTTTTTTGTTTTTTTTTTTTTTTGCTCCTGTTGTATGTGAGAACTCAGCTAAAAGCTAAGCTAGATTCAAATCCGAAATGGAATTTTAAACTATTATTTACTCGGCTGATGAGCCTTTATTAAATGCAAATGCCATTGCCAAGTTACTTTTATTGGAACTCTTTTCATCTTCACTCATACTGCAGCACCACGATGAAGAGTTACTCATAACCATGTCTGTCCATCAAGTGTGAGGAAAGCGAAAGCCAAATGTGGAGATCACATGGAATTCAGAGCAATTTTTTAAAGTTGTTCCATGTGTTTTCACATCTTTGATGACCCGTTTCAGCTCCCCTCTTAAATGTAACTACTTTGTTTAGTTCCCTTGGTATTGCATTTAGTTGCATGCTAGTTAATGAGGCCCACCCTTCAGTTGGAAGTCATTTCATCTTCACCATCTTCCTGAGTGCTTCACGACTTGTGTTTTGACCCAAAGATAGAGGATTGTGAACTGTGGCTGTCCCTGGCCAAAAAAAGTCAAGATCCTATCTAAAAATAGCTGAGGCACAAAAGGGCTAGGGTGAAAATGCCTGCCCAGCAAGTGCAATGTCCTGAATTCAAACCCCTGTTCTGTTGAAAAAATTTTTCTTTAAAGGGCCAAAGTGTGATGGCTCATGCCTATAAATCCACCTACTTGGGAGGCAGAGATAGGAGTTTCGTAGTTCAAGGCCAATGAGGCAAAAGAGTTAGCAAGATTCTATCTCAAAGAACAAGCCAGGCAGGGTGACACACATCTTTAATTCCAGCTATGCAAGAGGCAGAGGTAGGAGGATCACAGTCTGAGTCCAGCCCTGGAAAAAAGTGTGAGGCCTATCTAAAAAACAGCTAAGGCTAAAAGGTCTGGGGAGTACCTCAAGTGGTAGAGCACTTGCCTACTGAGTGCAAGGCCCTGAGTTTAAACCCCAATGATATTAACACATATTTCACATTTACAGATGGGAGAAAATTTACAAATAGATACAAAAGTTATCTACTGGCTGCAAAATTATGAAATTTTATTTTATTCTTTGTCTTTTCTGTTTTTTACAATAAACATAAAACTTTTTTTTACATTTAAAGGCATTTAAAAAATTCAGACTAGCACAGTGATGGATAACAATTATTTAGAGTTCGGAATTCAAGACTAAAAACAAAGACCACAGATATTAAGACATTGACATTGAATATCCAACTCAACATAAAAAGATGTTCTAAATTAATGCCCTTGATCTAATGTCCACATATGAGGGAGAACATATGATTTTTGGTCTTTTGGGCCAGGCTAACCTCACTCAGAATGATGTTCTCCAATTCCATCCATTTACCAGCGAAAGACAACATTTCATTCTTCTTCATGGCTGCATAAAATTCCATTGTGTATAGATACCACATTTTCTTAATCCATTCATCAGCAGTGGGACATCTTGGCTGTTTCCATAACTTGACTATTGTGAATAGTGCTGCACATAGCTTGGCTATTGTGAATAGTGCCACAATAAACATGGGTGTGCAGGTGCCTCTGGAGTAACCTGTGTCACAGTTTGTTGGGTCCCACATGTCTTTATTGTTCTTATTGCTTATTACTCAGTTTCTCTTTTTTCCCCGGGTGGAGGCCAGTCTGTCCAGGGGGCTATGCTGCTCTGGCCCAGGGTTGTCTGTGGGAGTACTGCAGTACTGCTAAGCTCACCTTGTCTGCGTCTTCCTAAGCCGTCTGGGCCCGGGCGACTGGCGGCCCGGGGGCCCTCCTAACGCCACTGTTGTTTAATCAATATTTTGTGGGGAAAAACATGGCATATGTTTTATTTTATTTATTTTATTTAAAAAAAGTTTTTTTAGGGTATATTCGTTGTTTGGGGGTATTCATTGTAACAATTCCAAATAGGCTTGTATTGTACATTGGTCTCTGCCCCACAACTCTCCCCCTGCCCCAATTAAAGTAATTGCAAGAGGTTTCTCTGTTTTATTTCATATGAAGTCCATCAGCCACATTCCCTCACCTTATCTCCTTCATTCACCCCTCCATAAGTCCCCCCGCACTGTACCTGGTAATAGTAGTAACTTCCATGTATTAAATGCTGACTCTGTGACAGCTGAGAGCTCTATGTGCATTATTTCATATAGTCTTCATGGCTACTCTGTGAGGCTATAATTACTGCCCCTATTTTGGAGATGAGGAAACTGAGACTTAGAGAGATTCAAGGTTACCTAAGAAGAAGTTGCATGCTGGTTTCTCTGATGCCAGAGTCTGACCTCTGGCTTTCCTGGTGGCTCACCTGTGTTCGCTTCATGAGTACAACACCGCCTCATCTGTCCATCCAACCTACACTGGTGAGGGTCTACTCTGAGAGTGCGGGTTACAGCATGCAAGGCCCTGCCCTCCTGAGGCTCATCTTCTGCCATGGGGTATTGCTGGTGGGCACTTCTGTCCTGGAACTCACATGTGTACGGCAGTGGCTGTGTCTCATTCTTAAGTTTAGTAATGTAACTGAAATTTTATGTAAGACTAAGTATCCTTATTGAAGCTTATGAAAAGGAAACTAGGGCATGCCCTTCTTACTTGCTAGACTCCATTTAATTTAGCACTGATTTTTAGCATTTGCAGACTCCTCAAATTGGACATGTCCTTGCTCATTAAGAAGCATTTTGAAAGTGTATTATTGTTAATGATCAAGCTACTTTTTGGTATCTTGTTTTCTTTGACTTCTTTAAGTGTTCTGTAGGTGTGGAGAGAAGCATAAAACCCTGTCTTTACAACATGCCAAAAATATCACAGAAACCTAGTTCAAGACACTGCAACATTTTAGAGAATAGATAAAAAGATATTGGTATAATTGAGAAATAAATGATGCAGCAAGGAAGTTCAGTTGTGAGGGGGAAATATTTATACCTTGTTTTCTGTGATATCAAGAACATTAAATCCTTCCATAAGAATGAATTTTTATAATGTTGAAGAAAGATGTATCATAGGTATCATAAAGTATTTGTTTTGAATGTCATTCTTTATCTGTGGAAGCTGAAAATAATTTTAAATGTCCTTGAGTGGAAGCTAATGTTCTATTTTTCAGCTAGGAAGATATTAGTAAATACTAAGAAGTATATTCCATTGTAATTAAATACTTGGCTTATTTTTCATTGGAAATACAAGTGAACATCCTGATCCAATAAGAAGCAAATGGACTGTGTATCTTCCTCCTTTTTTTTTTTTCCTCTGTTGAAGTCATTTGTCCAAGAGGGAGGATCATTGTCAAGCCAACTGCTGATCATTTTGCATTTTGACCTAGCTTCTGGGGAGCCTAGTGATGGGCTCTGATAATTAGTACAAACTCCATGAATATCTTTCATTTCTCTAGAAGGAGGTGTGGATTTGCAAGGCTACCAGCTGGATATGCAAATACTACCCGACGGCCCAAAGAGTGATGTCGACTTTTCAGAGATTCTTAATGCAATACAAGAAAGTAAGTTTTACTCAAATTTAAATTCACAGGAAGAGAAACCATTGTAATGCCTGGGAGGGGGAAGTCAAACTAGAAATGTTAGATGCCCAGCTAATAATAAAACAATGTCTAAAGAGAATAAAACAATGTCTTAAAAGAGATACTATGAAAAATAATTTTGAGACCAGAAGAAACAGTGAAATGCGGGATTAATTTGTGGAACTGAACCACATAATTTTAGGGTCTTTATAGACTTCTGTATGTTTAGTGTGTAATAATATTTAGTAGACCTTCAAGTATTGCAATTTTTTAGGTTCCTTGATTAATCAAAGGAAAGTATTTATGGAGCCCAAATACTAGTCCTCTGCTCAAATGTAAGAAGTAAGAGTTGAGTGTTGATGCAATGCACTGAAATCAGGAGATTAGTCTCTGAAACAAGGGTCTGGAGTCAGTGATCATCATGGGCTGTGTCCCAGAAGTGAACCCCACATTTCTGAGCATTTTGATTAATCCAAGTTAGCTCTTCTTTAGACTGTTTTACTAGTGTTTGGTCATTTTCACTCAAAACTTTATCATAATAACACAGTTACCCAAGTCACAGATCTAGTGCTGAGGCAGTTATAACCACACATGCTTCATTCTTAGAACTCTAATTCTAGAAGGCTGTGCTCTTCATATAAGTAATATTATAGAATGTGAACTGAACAGCTCAGGCATGAAGAGCATTGCACAAAGTGCTGCTGAATATTTCTACTTTTAGTCCTGGGACATTACACTTTATACTAATTATTTGTGTGTGTGTGTGGTGCTGGAGATTGAACCTAGGGCTTTGCACATGCTAGGCAAGCACTTTACCACTAAGTTGGCATCCTCATCCCTGTACAAATTTTCTTATGAATAATTTTCATCATTTTATGGTCACTTATCATTATACTGTTTTCCTGACTTGATGTTATCTCCACTTCATACATGAGATTACTGAGCGTGAGAAAAATTAAGTAACAAAGTAATTAGATAATTTAGACACATGGAAGTGAACAATCCTGAAACTGAAGACGGGGCTACTTTTGAAAGATATATGTAAATGTGAAATATGTGTTAATATCATTGGGGTTTAAACTCAGGGCCTTGCACTCAGTAGGCAAGTGCTCTACCACTTGAGGTACTCCCCAGACCTTTTAGCCTTAGCTGTTTTTTAGATAGGCCTCACACTTTTTTCCAGGGCTGGACTCAGACTGTGATCCTCCTACCTCTGCCTCTTGCATAGCTGGAATTAAAGATGTGTGTCACCCTGCCTGGCTTGTTCTTTGAGATAGAATCTTGCTAACTCTTTTGCCTCATTGGCCTTGAACTACGAAACTCCTATCTCTGCCTCCCAAGTAGGTGGATTTATAGGCATGAGCCATCACACTTTGGCCCTTTAAAGAAAAATTTTTTCAACAGAACAGGGGTTTGAATTCAGGACATTGCACTTGCTGGGCAGGCATTTTCACCCTAGCCCTTTTGTGCCTCAGCTATTTTTAGATAGGATCTTGACTTTTTTTGGCCAGGGACAGCCACAGTTCACAATCCTCCTATCTATGATTCCCATGTAGCTTGGATTACAAGTGTGTGCCACCATATCTGGCCTTGAAAGAAATATTTTTAATAAAGAATATATGAGGACCAGCTATTTGTCCTGCTGGGCAATGCTTCATATTAGTTAATGAATAAGAGAGAAAATTTCCCCTGGAGAATAAAAACCACATTAATAGACATTAGTCAGAAAATAAGTTTTCATAGAAAGTTATAAAATTATATAATTATTTCATTTGATATGAAAGGTGATATATTGTACAGTACTCAAAGAATTTCAAAGTATTTTAATAAATGATAAAAGTTGTCACTCCACATGTGCTGGAGATGAACTTAATAAATGGTCTAAATGAACTTATACCAAAATGGTATGTTTGTAAGGGACTATTTTTACAGTTATTTTAGTGGCAGTTCTTAAGGACATGTTTGTATATTATGTTAACTGTTCTATAGTTTAGAATACTGACCTTTGTATGAACAGGGAGAGGAATATAAATTTATGAGTACTCTGCATTTAAATTTCTAAATAAAAAAGGAAATCTTACTTCATTTTAAAATACAAATCAAGATTTTATAGATATACACATTTTATAGTATTTTAACTGAACAGGTAGAAGAATATAAATTTATGGGTACTTTATATTTGAATTTTGAAATAAGAAAATGGAAATTTTACCTCACTTTAAAATGTAAATAAAGATCTTATAGATATACACATTTTATAGTACTTCAGAACTCTTCTACTTATAATCTCTTGTTTAAAAAAAAAGTCCTATGCTAAGGAGATTGGGAAACTGTCCACACAGCCTGGGTCATTTCTGGAAGAAAGACTTGGGTCATTTATCTACCTTAGTCTTTACCTAGGATTCAAACATGAGTCATATATCTAGGCAGTTCACTGTAATTTCTAAATATAGTAATACATAGCTTGTTCTTTAAGGAACTATATATTTGATGATTGTTTCTAGAAGGTTTTGAGAGACCAATAAGTAATGATGTTAACAATATAGAATTCTGAGTATCAGTGTAACTCCTCCCCTGAAAGCAAACATTTTTACTGAGATTAGCAAAGTGATGAAAAGACTTCATTTTTCCTTAGAATTTTGTGCCATACATGAGTGAGTGAGTGAGTGAGTGTGTGGGGGGGGGAGAGAGAAAGAGAGAAAATATATCCTTATTAATACTAGATGCTCCGTTTTCATTTTGAAGATAGAAAACCAAGAATAGTTTCCAAGTTGTACGGTTATTATGTGACAGAATTAACACTTAATTGTTTATCAACTCTTGCTCTGTTAAATACAAAAACAAATAAAAATGAGTATAAAAGGCAAATTATTGGGGTTTTAAATATTTTATCCTAAAAATTTCACATTTTGACATGAGTTTTTCTATCATGCTTCTACATTGCAAAATACATTTATATTATTTTTTCCTAGTGTACACATACCCTAAGTATAGCCTCATCTGTGCAAAAGATGTCTCGGAGTGACTGGCCATACTCAAGGTGTTTTCTGACTCTCCTTATTAGATGTATGCCTTATGAGAAAGAAAAAATATTTCAGCCATGCATCCATCTCCCCCTCCACCTGTCAGGCACCAGGTCCTATGAGTGGCATTCTTACCCTGGAAGACAGAGTTGTGTTATATTCCATCAGGCTCTAAGAAGGAAAGAAAGCAAGAGATTGTTTCAACTTGAGAACATGGAGTTGGAAGGACCATCAGACTATTGTGGTCCTGTGAGCTGATCGCCTTGCTCATGTGTCTGCGTAATCATCGGCTGTTCCTGCATTGGTGGTGGTTGTGCTCCTGTGGCTGAGGTCATGGAGCCACAGTGACATCCAATGAGTCATCTTGAATCCATACCTTGACTTCCAATTTTATTTTTAACCTGTGTGGTTAAGTCCTTTCCGAGGGGAAGATGGCCAGGGGCAGACAAATAGTGAGCACACGATCTTTGCCTGCAACGCTGTGGATGCCTTTTTCCTGTGTTATTTTATTTAGTCTTAAATTCTCTTTGCTTTATTTTTCACATCTGTGAAAGGGAAGTAGTTACAGTAAATCTACAAAAAGTCTCAGCAGAGTGCCCGGTGTGTGGTAAGCACTGTGTAGGTGTTGGCTGCCACTTTGCCTTTATTGCTCAGAATATTCCTTTCTGAAAAATGGTATTATGCCCATTTCAAAGGCAAAGAAGTTAAAGCATGAGTAAGTGAAATAACCCAATCCAGTAGCTAGTAAGTGGGCTGGCATTTGAACTCAGACAAATCTGAATCCAAAGCTTGGTTTTTTCCAAAGGGGAAATCATAGTCTGAAGTCTCTGAGGACCTTTAATGCAGAACACCCTTGTTTCATGTCAAAAACTAGCCAAGGCTAACAAGCAAAGCTTGAATGAAGAGCATAATTCATCATGACCTGTTGTCCCCAGGGTTATAAGAAGTGACATCTTCATCTGCCTTGTAACAGGAGTGACCAAGGTGCCACCTTTTTTTTTTTTTTTTTTTAGAGTGAAGTAGTAGCAAGAGAAGCTCTCTATAGAGTGAGTGCTGCCCTGATAACAAGGTGATGACCTTGGTCCCATTTCAGAGTGTACTGGGGAGAACACATGCATAGTCTGTGCTTTGAACTTCACCATTCCTGACCCAGGAAAGAGCAATGGCATTATTTTTAATAGTCATACATTTTTAAAAGGCTCTCATGACTGCTTGTTTTTGTTTGCAAAGACATATTTTGAATCTCAAAGTGACTTTCCCTGGCAGAGTAGAAGTGCCTACTGTCAGGTCTATAATGATGAGAACCCCAGATTTTCTTTAGGGAGATAGAACCATTCAGTGTTTACCAGAAACCCCTCAGAGAAGCTTCTCAGCTTTTTTTTTTTTTTTGAGGGGGGTATATTCTGTTTATTTCCCCAAAATATGTTTTCAACATATAATGTTAGCATGTAGAAAAAACAGAAACTGAGCTCTGTGATATAGGTGGATTATGAGGAGGTCTTTGCCCACTGAGTTTCCTCTTTGTCCTTGCATGGCCTTTAGAGCTCCTCAAAAGAAGCCTAGAGTTCCAGGGAGCACACTTTGAAAGTGGCTGTCCTTATTGGAAAGGAATAAAGTCAGCTCAAGAAGCATTTATGTCCTTTCCAATTACTTTATTTATTTTGAATTCTTTAAATTAGATCTCCCTTTATTTCTTATTGATACACCAGGCAGTCTGTGCCTTAGGGAAGCTGTCAGATATATCTGAAGAGTAATGAACATCCAGTGAGTCCTGGGCTTGCTAGTGTCATATAACTGCTAAATAGTGTTTAGCTCTTAAAACCCCAGCCAAGTGTACTCAAAGCTATGCTGTGTCTGTGTATTTCTCTGAATTTTTAAAAACATTTAATTTGATCCATTTGTTAACTTTTGAAAAGTGTCAGACCTTTTGGGCTCCAGATGTAAAGTCTAGCTTTCTTC